TTATGGGTATAATGTAAAAAGGAACAATGCTTTCTCTTCAAAGAGAGAAATCTGGAATGGAAAGCTTGCTGAGTCATCACCATGGTCCCTTTCATCAGTACTTTAGAATTTTCCAGAAATTTAAAATCTAAACCTTTTATCTGATCATGAATAAAAGGTCCTATTAGCCAAGATAGTATGGATTTGTGTTCATACACTTTTATTACATAAATATAACCTACGTTTAGGTCTTCAGAATATTTTTTATAAAACATACCTCTTAACAAAATACACTTTTCAATGGGATCTATTTCAAGTGGTTTCAGTCCCATATTCTCCTGCCACATAAAAGTTTTTAGAAATAAGGTTTTGCTCATGACTGTTTTAGGTATCTTGTAACAGGTACATTAGAATCAAAGGTACATTATTCAATTTGTGCTACATCTTCCAGAAACAAACTGCACTGGTGTCCTTTAGAAATGCATGGAACAAAGCCCAGACAGGATAAAACTTAATGAGTAGCAGTCCAAAAGTGACTGCCGAAGATAGGAAATATTAGTACTCAAACTCAGAGATTTAATAAACTCACATAAATTTGCTGCAAGCCTTGCTCTGGGCCCAACACTCTATTTTATTTCTTTAGAACATCAGTTGCAAAGCTGTTCTGATTTTTAAAAAACATCAACTCTTACTTTTCTCTCTGAAGACAAAATAATGAATTAAATTCAACAAGACATTTGGCAAATTTGGTTTAAAAAAAGTCATGTACTACTGAAATAAGTTTTCAACTGAGAAAGACAAAATTAAACTGTTATCTGTCCAGTGGTTGAATCTATACTACCAAAATTAACTGTATGACAGTAATCATCTCAAATACCATTTCAGTTGCTGTTAAATGCCACCTTAAAGCAGTGTTCTTAGACTGAGGTATGCACAAGTACAATATGGGAAACTTGTTTAAAGTGGGTTTCTATCCTGAGACCTGTCTTGAGTACTGGAAAGGTCAAACACTACGGGTTCTCATAAAGGGATGCAAAACTAACGCATGGATCATAAACAAGGTAAAGACTTACACGTCTTTGATGTGTCATCAATAAAGTTACTACATTTTCATTCCCTCCGTTCAGATTTTAGCCCAAATTACAAAGTCATTCTGTAATTAAGGATTTCATACTTTTCTATAAATCTTCATAATATAGGCATATTGAGCTATTTTTAACCCAAGAGTCCGAGAATCTGCAAAAGGGTTTGCAAGGATGTTATCCCAACATTTTGGAAGAGGCCATCAGGGTAATCTAGTCCAATATGCTATAAGGGGGAAAACGAAGCATAGAGAGGTCATATGTGCTATCTTAGGTCAAAAGACTCTAACTGGAGAGTCAGAGAGAGTATAGGCCTTTTCTTGATTCAGGATCCTTGCAAGTCATCAAAATACTTGATTTTTTGGTACTCAGGAAAAGTATATAGAACTAATTTCAAACATATTTATAGGCATATATATAATGTTCTATTGAGCTAAAATGCTTTATAGTTGAAAAATAAAACCTACTAGTTTAAATGAAAGGAAACATTCAAAGTTATCATTAAGGAGAAAGAAAAGGGGAAATTTATTTATTTATTGGCTCCTACTATAGAATAGGTAGGTATTGCCCCATTTACCAATGAAAGGCACTGAGAATCAGTTTATAGACTTCACGAGATAATTTTCTGGAGTTGAATCCATGGCTCATGCACAATGGGTTCAATTTATTTTGTTTAGTCACAAAATCAAAATTACTGTCTTTAATTACTAAAATATGGAGTTATGCAATTTACTTTTTTAAATTGTGTATACTGGGGCACCTGGGTGGCTCAGTTGGTTGAGCCTCTGACTCGGTCTCCGCTCAGGTCATGATTTCATGGGTTGTGGGAATGAGCCCACACTCCCCATGCCCCCTTCCATCTCTACACTCAGCGGGCATTCTGCTTGAGTTTCTGCCTTCCTCTCCTTCTGACCCTCCCTTTTCTCCTAAATAAATCTTTAAAGAATAGAATAAAATTGTGCATACTACTCACCAAATTTCCATTCTTTTTAAAAATGATATTTTGTGCTTGGCTATCTTCAAAACACAATAGCCACATGACAGATACTACAACCAGAAGGTACAAGAATACACAATTAAAAATATGTGCAGCAATTTTACAAGCTCTTAAATTTATATCAATTATGCATGTATATTAAAATGTAACTTTGAATATATAAATTCCTTTCCTAACAAAGGTTTCTTAGCTTACTGAATTTTTCCCTTCTCTTTTACACGTAAGATTCTCCCCAACTTCTTGTTCTTGCTCTTCCCTTTCCTCCACTGAAAGTTCTTCTCATGAGTAAAGTTATTTCTTTGACCAGCAGCTGGGACAGTGACATGTGAACAGCACACCAGCTCACAGTTTGCTAAATGGTTTAAATTACTGTACCTCATTGTCATCCAAATCCTGTTTTTCCCTTGTACTTTAACTCAGAATGTAATCTGATGTCTCTTTAATGGTGAGATTTGTCATGTTTTTAAAATATCCCTGTTGTTTTCTAAAGGTGGTATTATAAATCTAGGCCTATTATCTTTTTACAACTGATATAAAAAACATTGATATCTCAACTGCTATTTATTTTCCTTGGAGAATTGGTTCTTCTGTGCTGTGTAACGATTTTCTTACATGAGATTATTTGTAAATTAGTATTTTGAAGATTTAGAATACGCATTTGAAAACACCCTTTCCTGGATTCTGAATTAAGTTGCAGAAGGTTGAATTAACCCAAAGAAAATAAATTTTTGTATTACAGTGAGATATTTGATTATCTAATCATCAAAACCTATACAAGGGAAGGACAGTGTCAAATGAAAAAAATTTTTTATATTGTTTTCAAAATGTTTTTTAGTACGTTGATTTCATAATGGGTTTGAAATTGTGCAGTTTCACAAAGTATTAGATCAAATAATATAGCTCCAGGGAAAAGATCCAACTGAGAAGCTACACATCCCTTAGTTTTCCCATCTTCATTTTGCTCCTCAGCGTGTGACACCTTCATATCTACACTGTACACAGCTGCTCCTTTCCTCTTTGCTATTTAAAAAGGATAGGCAGCCTTGGACAGTGATTTTCCTTGGGCCTGATATAGAAAATGAGAGAAATCCATTCCTACAACTGGCTGCCTTAGGAAAGAGAATTTCAGATTCTTTCCCTTCCAGCTCCTGTTGAGTTAAAGGCAGGGGCAGTAAGCCAATAAATACCGTGAGGCAGTAAATGAGAACTGACATAAACAAGCAATAAACGTCTACTTCCTTCTTGAAATCAGTAAACAATGGAATGGGATGGTACCATACTATAAAAGATCAGAGGATAATAGAATTTGAGCTATAAGGAATCTTAAAGGTCATAAAATTTTCAGTATTTTTTCATCTTCAAAATGATTCTGAAGACTTGTCCAGAACATTTGTTTTTGATTGATTAAGGCTCAGTTTTGACTAAGTATAACACAACAGAATTTCATGGAGGACAGTCACAGGAAAGTTTGGAATTGTATTCCTGTGAACTGTTGTTTTATGAAGGAGAGTAAGGATCTTCCAAAGATTGGTTCCTCCTTTTCCAGGGTGGGTGAGGGTCAGGTGCCATCTCTGGGGCCCTTTTAGTCCATCTTGGTCGCTCATCTGGGCTCTTACCCTGCTGTCAGACTGGTAGGTGGCCGCTTTCGGCATGCTGCCCCCAAACAGCCCACTGTTAAATTTGCTGGGTCTGCAAATTTAAGCACTCATTAGTGACAAGAGAACCCTTAAGGTTCTCTGATGAATCAACAGGAGCTCAATTTTGCTCAATTCATACCCGTTTATATCTGGCTGTCAAGTTTAGGTCTAGGGAAAATTCCGGGGAGCTTAATGTTAGGGGAAGAATTACAACTTCCCTTTTGCACAGGTCGGTTCTGAAGTTGGCAAACAGACCTGCCACGGTCACCCTAAATAAAGCACGGAACAACCACGTGGGAAGCAGGTAGCAAAGTCCCCCGGCCCCTTCACTGGAGCATCCTCACCTGCACCTTTCCTGCGGCGGGTGGTCTCGACACCGCGCTCCGTGCGCAATTACTCGCCAGAGCAGCAAAGGACGGGCCAAGTAAAGCGGCCGCCCAGGTGATGGAGCACCGGCACCGCGGCGGCCAAGAGCCGTACCCCAACCCTAATCCCGAAAAACAGGCTAATACGCCCGCGGGAGCATGAAATGCACAAGGCACCCGGCTCCTCGGGCTTCCCCTCCGCGCCCCCACCTGCAGGGCAGCATCCCCGAGCTCCTCCTTGCCCGAGTGTTTTGGAAACTGTCAACGGAAACCCAGAGGCGAGGGAATGTGACGGGCGACCATAAATATGCAGAAGACATGGAGTCCAAATAGCGGACGTATGGAGTCAGTGCTCGCGGAGGTCGGGGATCTGGAGCCTGGCCCTCGCTGCCGGGGCCGCGCGGGCGGTGCCAAGACCGGGCAGGCGGCGCCGGCGCACTCTGGGCACCGAGCCTGCAAAAGGGGCCCCGGGCGGGCGGCCGGACACCTCGCAGACGACAGGCAGCGGGTGCAGCGACCGCCGCCCCGGGGCTCCTCCGCCGACCCTCCGTCCGCCGCCGCGCCCGGCCCGCTGCCGCCCGGCCCCCAACCCGAGCCCCGGAGGCGGCCGCTGTCTCCGGCCGCGCGGCCCAGCTGCATGGAGCCTGGCGCGGTGTCCCGGACCGCCGAGCCCGCCGCGGCGCGGGAAATGACCGCGCGCCACGCCGAGGGCAGGAAGAAGATGGCGGCGGCCGTGGCGGCGGCGACGGCAGCGGCGGCCTCCCACGCGCCGCTGACGCCAATGGCGCGCGCCAGCCGGCGAGCAGCGGATGGCGGCGGCGGTGGCGGCGGCCCGGGCTCCGGCGAAGGGCGGGGCGAGGCCGAGAGGGGGCCGGCCGGAGGCGGAGGCCGGGCCGGAGGCTGGAGGGAGGTGGTGGGGACAGTTTGTTGTGCTCGGAACATGGCGGGCGTCGGCGATGCGGCCGCCCCGGGAGAAGGTGGCGGTGGCGGCGCGGACGGCCCGGAACGGGACGGCCGCGGCGAGGCGGAGCAGCCGGGAGGCGGCGGCGGCGGCGGCCACGGGCCCCCGCCGGCGCCTCAGCACACGGAGACGCTGGGCTTCTACGAGAGCGACCGGCGGCGGGAGCGGCGCCGCAGCCGCGCAGGTGAGGCGGGCGGGCGGCGCTAGGCCGCGCCTAGGGCGGCGGGGAGCGTCTTGCGACCCGGAGCCCCTGCCCCACTGCCGCGGCTGCCTCCGGGGCCGCCCGGGCTGTGGGTGCGCGAGCCGCCGAGGCTCCTGGGGGACTCCGTGGCTCCGCGGCCGCTGACAGCTCGTCGGGCGGGGTCGGCGCGCGGCCCCCGGGCCCCCGCGGCACACGCGCGGCCGGGTGTGTCCGAGAGACCGAGCTGCGGCCCGGGAAGTTCTGTCCGGGGTCACTTGACCGCTCTTGAAAGGTCCTTCAGAAAGACCCCCGGGCTGTGCTCCCGCCCGGTATCGTTGGCGAGCACCTTCTACGTCGCAGGGAGCTCCCAACTGAGAAGCTCAGGGCTGATTTCTTAATTATTTTCATGCCAAGGTGACTTTTTCGTTGTGTATTTTAAGCGAACTTGAGCCATAGAAACCTGTTAACTTGCCCTCCAAATAAGTGTTCCCCAGCCGCAGCTAGTAATGTGGTAATGACCGTGAAGTTCAGTACTTTCGCCCAGAACAGAAATACGTAGAAACCTCTCTTCAAAATGTTACCTGTGAACTTTTCCTAAACCGAAACTTAAGCCTCTTAAAAAAAAAAAAAAAAAAGGCTGTATAGGAAAAGATGCCTTTGTGAATCCTATTTTCAACCACCAATTTTAAGCATGTTGTTAGAATATTATTTTTTAAACTGTGGGATTCCTTTTTTTAAAAAAAAATTAAATTGCACTTGTATTCATACTGTAGTTGTATATTAGGCTTCAAAGAAAAAGAGATTTTGAGATATATGTTTCATTGAGTTTAGTGATCACATTTACATTTTTATGTAATTCTAAGTTTTAAACAGCAGCTGAGCCATAACTCCATTAAATTTCTTCCCCAAAAATTGCTTCTGGTGGGCAGTAGGGGCTCCATTAGCCGTTATTTCCTTCAGTTTCTGCAAATGAATGTTAAGTCCTAAGGCTTACTGCATCATTGATTGTACTTGAATATTGAAAAATGTGGGAGTACTCAAGTACCAGAAGGTTGATCAGGTGAGATCCTGTGTGATTTGCTAATTGTCAGAAGTAGACAAAGGTTAGATTTTGAAGAGGTCTGTATCTTTGAAAAATAAGTACAGACTGTGCCTTGTTCAGTCTTTTTCAATTAACCACTTAAAAATTCTCAACTGTTTGGTTTAGTTGTCAGTTAAATACTTGGTTTCCAGAGTATTTACTTTCTGAACTGGCAGGATCTAAGTAAGACAGTATTAAATCTCTCAGCTGTCTGTTTACCGGCTTAGACTTGAACCTTAAAGATGCTCTGGTGCAAATGGAAACAAGAGTGGCCAGGTTTCACTACAATGGCTTTAAAATATTTCTGAGTTTCGGGAAAGCCAATATTATAAAAGCCTTTTTTGTTGTTGTTTGCATACACAGAAAATGAAGTTGTCAGGAGCCTTTTGATGAGCACGGATGTTAGGTTTTTGGAATAACCCCTAACACCCCTTTCCTGGCCCTTCCCGAGATGGGTCTGAGTATCTGGTACCACGGACTTCCTCAGACTTCGCACCACGCACGCATTCTTCATCAACATGAGTTTCTGAGCGTGGTTTACTTAACCTGTTGGAAGTTGGACTTTTAACCTAGTTGCAGAAAGTCTTTATCCGGGAGACACTTCCAGTTTTATTTGTTGGGATGGCCCTCGTTGTTTCCCTGATTCCATCAGTCTTTTGTGAGGAGAGATGACCGTGGCAAGTCTTGGGGATCAAGACTTAGGTAAGAATCTCAGGAATATTTCAGCTGGGGTCACCAACCAGTGTTGTTCCATGGGGGCCCCAGGTGTCTCTGCTAGGCACACAGATCTTGCCCGTGCTGGCATCCACCCTCTAACTCTGATGCCGCATTGGTTGGAGATGAGAATTCTTTCAGTCATTCTTAAATACCCAGGCTGCTGAGCGGCTCTGCTTCACCTTGCTGTTCTAGCATCGCTCCTTTCTACTGCTCTAGAAACTTTCCCTCCTCCCTAGTGCAGTGTTTAGAAAACTGTTCCCTAGGGGCTGGCCTGGGCCAGAGGGCCTTTGAGTGGCACCACCTAGTGTCATGTGGGAAGCATTTTTCCCGGAATCAAATGTCTTCCAAGCCTCTGTGCTTATATTTAAGGTGTTACTTGTCCATTAAAAAAATTTTTTTTTTTTTAGTGTAGTTGGCACAGTGTTGTATAGTTTCAGGTGTACAGCAGAGTGATTCAACATCTCTGTAGGTGATGCTGTGCTCACCACAAGTGTGGCCACCACTGTCACCTGCCTCTGATACTCTAGTTCCTCCTCTCCAGTTTAGGGCAACCTTGGTTTTTCCCTTTGGGAAAGTCACAATCTTAGTGTCTTGGTGGCCTAACCATCAGTTAGTTCCAAAGTCCTTTTTATTATTTCTCCCAAGGAATTTAGAGGTCTTATAAATGTTTGTTGGCCTGTCCCAATAACCTAGGATGCCATGAATGGAGTACATAGACGAGGTGCTTATCCACACCCTCCCCATCCAAGTAAAATAATTCAAACCATAGTATTTGAGGTAATATTTTTGTTTTATACCTATCTTTGTCCATTTATATGTTTAGAAGATATATGAATATTCATTGGTGTATAAGCCGTTACATATACCATGTACGTGTATCTACATAAAGTGTAAGCTTTCATTTTGTTTCTCATTTCAGACTCTTTGAATCACTTGATTATGCCCCGACTTTGGCTTACATGTAGCCTGGCGGTGGGTTGAAACTGTTCCTCTGGTACTAGTACTTACACCCTAAGAGTGCGAAAGGGATATTCCACTCATCATACCTGTCTCTTTCTCTCTCTCAGAACATTCGTTGTATATTCCACTGTTGCTTTATGTGGTCACAGTTCTTGGACTCTTGGTATAGTGCAGAACTACAGATTCATCTCTTCTGTCTTCTTTTGTTCCTGCTCTTAAAAATACTACCAACTTCTGTTGTCCTTTTTGACATAAGCTCAGATAATACTACCAACTTCTGTTGTCCTTTTTGACATAAGCTCAGATAATAAGTACATATTACCATAGTTTTGTACTCATTCCCCACTTTGCTCATCTGTAAAAGTTTTAAGGGGGAGAGTTTCTATATAACCATGTTCCCATTTAGGAATCTACATCTAGCAAGTCAACTTTGAACTAAGAATTAGGTAATCTGTTCTTGGCCTGGTTTGGTTGTTAAATTGCTCTTAGACTCTGTGCTTGCTTAGACCACTTGCCTAATTCTTTTGGCTCTGTTTCATGACTCCACTACTAGATGGTTGAGTATCTGAAGTACATAAGCGGGCTCTGGTGCCCGTGAAGACTTAACAGTAGAAGAACTGGTGTAAAATAAGCATTGTACCTATCAGTGAGGATAAAACAATACCTATGTGATGCAGGTGTTGGAATGTGCATAGGGATAGATGTTGCTTATAAAACAAAAGAGCTTAAAGTAAGGTTATGGGTGAACAGTATTGTGTCTGATTTCAGCAGTGCTGTGGAACCCGTGCTTTTCTTTTTGTTTAAATGGTGACTCTTCCACTTTTAGAGCTTACATTTGTTATCCATCTCTTTTGCTGCTTTTCTCTTTCTTTACCCATTTTAGACCTCTTGCTTTACCTCTGTGAGAGAATGAGCAGAAGCAGGAAGAAAGCCTAAACCCCAAAAAGCCAACTGAACTCCTTTTTACGGTTACCACAAAAGACTCTGAGTGGGACAGAAGTTTTAACTGTTCATATTCTCTACACCCTATTTTTGTGTAATTGAAAATTTAAATTCTTATTACAGTTAATTTATTTTTTTAAAATACCTTTTCATTTAATTGGTCCTTATCCTCCATAGAATATGTTACATGGTTATCCCTGTGGCCCCAAACTTATCCTCGTGGATGATTAAAGGCTGTTGTTCTGAATTAATTTCTCACTTACAAAGGGAAGTAATGATAACTGTAAAACTGACTGGGAAGTTACTTGGATTAACCACAACCCTGAGATAGGTAAGGTAAAGTTAACTTCTCTCTGACACACTATTGTTCTGCTTTTAAAACTCTCACTTGCTTTATTTAACTAGTGCATGTAAATTAAACAAGCAATGAAGTTACTCATTTTGGTCTTTGACCGGGCAGTATCCCAGCTTTTTAAAATGTTTAACTTCATCCTAGTTTACCCTCCAAAATTCATCCCTGGCTGCTCATTAGTGGCCCAGTTTGAGGAATGCTTGGGTGAAATAGGTCTTTGGAAAGACTATAGCATTGACTGTCAGATTACTGACATTCTGATCCCATTTTTAGTCCTTAACCCTGAAACCTTGTGACCTTTGAAACAGTCGCTACACTTTGTGTCCCTGTTTTCCATCTATAAGTATATAAATTCATGAATATTCTACCTATTCCTTACTTCCCTAAGTGAGACTACTTAGAAGCCGTTTGAGGGTCTTAAAAATTTGACTGGTGCCTTTACTATTATTTGACTTAGGAAGACAGAATCACTGTTGTATTGATTTCTAATGTGCCTTGTACAAGGATGAACCTCTGTGTTTGTGTAACAAACTTACATGTAATATGTTTATGTAACCTTAGTAAAGTTTATTACCATTTTACATTATTTAAGACTGGAGATTCACATGTTTTATAATATTTTCCTAACAGTTAACCAATATTACTTTCCAATTTTTTAATGGCCAGTGTTATCTTAAGAAAGATATATTTAGACATATTACTTAACATTTAAATATATTTATGATTACTCATTATTTTTAATTAGTACTTTTGTATCCTGGCTTCTTATTTCTAAACCAAGCTATCCCAGGAGATGATTAAACATAATCTTCTTTTAGGGATGAGGAAGAAGCAATTTTTATTGTACTTTTTCTCAATTTAAGATACCGGAACACAGAGCATTTCTGCAGTAAAAGATGAATATTGATTAAAAATACTCTGGAGGAACTGATTTGGATTTATGATTGGTAT